GCTCGGTACAAACTTTTCAGCTCGTTTTCGTCATATTTCGAATACGAGCGCGTTTATAGATTTTTTTTAGAACAATCTTCTTCCGGGAAGATTAATTCTTCTATGATTTTCTTCCAAACTAATATAAAAAAGATTATGAAAGCTCACACATTATTGTCATCTATACCGAAACTCAATCTTCTCTTTAAACTAAGCTAGACAGTCAGGTCAAGGGTCTATAATGAAGATTGAACTGAACAATTTGTTAGGTCAAAAGGTTGGACTGAATGATAGATTCTCACCTTGTGTCCATCCGTACGTTTCTTGTGCACCACATCTTCTGTTCGTCCGTTGTCTTCTATCTTCTCCAATAGTTTCTCCATCCGGGTCATTGAGGCCGCGACCGCCTCCATATTATCTCCGCTCGCCATCTTCTTTCAAAGAGATCTGGATTTTCTGTTAAGAATGATAAACTATAGATCGTTAAATTGATTTGGAAATATGTTCAAATTATTGAAGGCACCAAAAGATTGTATTTGACAGTCAGATAGAAACGTGTATTGAGCAGTGAACAGACGAATTTCAGACGATGATAATACTGATATAAATTATTTTGGCTCTGCTGATAAAATTGAAAGAATATACGGAGAGAGAGAGAGAGAGAGAGAGAGTCTTGTCATTTGACATTTTCTGTATTTTTCGCTGTATTTCCACCTGGCAGACATGTTCATGTTGAGTGACTCATGATTCATTATCACTGTCTACGTGACAGGTGAATCAATTCAGCCAACATCCCACAAATGTTTCAGTGTGCCAGAAAATCATTATGACTAACAATTATGAAGGGCTCGTTGATGTCTGTATACAGGCGATACTAATTATTAAGTTCCATGCAGTAAAAATCAAATGGCACACATTGCAGTACAGATATCAAATACTTGCTATAAAAAGTATGATAATTGTCAAATTTCTTCAAAAAATGTAAACAATTTCTCCTTCCCTTTTTTCTATTAAGTAATTCTTTTTATTCAGGGGGTTTTCATTAAAGAAAACATGTTTTCAGATTGACGAGTCTATTGAAAACTTTGAAGTGATATCATGCATGATGGCCCGGATTATGTATGAGTTGGAGGAAAGCAAATTTGAACAAAATAGTAAATCCCTTCGTTTGATATGACTAAATAAGTAAACATTAAACGCTTTTTTACAAGCCACACTGCATAAAAAAAGACAAACCGTCCTAGCGTCAGAACATGGGCGAAAATGGAGGGCACTTAATTTTCTACATATATATGCCTATATATATTTTATTTTAATCCGCGATATTAATAACAATATCATACATAATTAATCATAGGCCTGTCCTACATGTACATGTTGCTCTACTAGTATAGAAGGCAACAAATCGATATTATATTATCAAGGCATTCAAACAATTATTATGATCATCGCTCTGGCTTCTAGCTACATAGTACCTGCAAGTGAAGGAAATGCTGTTAAAAGGGTGATTAGGAGTGCAGATTAATTACTGAGCATAGGAGGGATGATATGGATATTATTATGTATCCTACCGAGTATCGTCATAGAAGTAGAAGTTGAAGTATGTCATGTAAATCGACACTGAACATCGGACACCAGGATAACATGCATTGCCTTGATTCCATAGCTTCATAATTTATTCTAGAATGTATAACCCATGCTATTTCATTTGTCTGAGCCTGGTAAATGAACTCTTCCTGTTATTATGGATTAAATGCAAACAGTCTATATATTACATCCCACCACACAGCACACTGGTGTCATATCATATTATCATCACAAGAGCAATCGAAAAGCTATAGTGAAGAAACGACAGCGTAAATAAAACACGAAGCAACCTAACCAGGAAGAGAGAGAGAATAGAGCTCTTGGAAAGGATTGCATTTCAACAATTCCTCGGCGCCCATATCGCATTCACATCTCACTTCGCCATTATAATTCCTAAAAATGGTATAATTACTGTATGGAATAATACATCATGATCATGCTCATCACATTCACGACAAAGTATGAAAAATAGATGCATGCCTTACCTTTTGCGACAACAAGAGTATACACCCAGGATATATCCACAGTATGTTCTCTTCTGCTCTCACTAGCACAGCGAATATCTATATGCCTAGGTATTATAGTCCATACACACTCACACACTGTACATTCGTTGCTGTGTATATACTCTGTGATGTGAACGTTTGCTGTGCGGAATTTGCAAAGGAACGTGGAACGAAGAATCCTTTATTATTACCCTTCTCCACGGGTTACTGGTTTAATTGAATAGAGATATTAAAGAGAGTACAAAAGACAAGGTAAAGCAGAGATCTGTATGGACTTTGTTCTTCAAAAAACAAAAACATTTTTATATTGCGCCATTTCACATTAATTTTGTTTAGATAAGTGGTGAGTCTTGGGGAATATGAAAACCCTGTTATCATGTTGTTGCTGTTGTTGTACTTTGTTTGTTTGTTTTTTGTTTTTTATGGGGGGGGGGCCGATAGCAGGCCGCACTACATTTCTAGTCGATGGATAAATACAAGAAAGAAAAAACATTTAAACCTATTCTCCTGAGTCAACCCAGGTTAAGATTTATCTTAATTATTTCAATTTTTATTTTCTATAAGTATAACGTGGAGGTGGGAAGAAGGAGGAGGAGGAGGGGGAGGGAAGGGGTGTTGAGTGTGAATGGGACCGTCTACCCCGGATCGGCGTTGACGTCATGTTTATTCGAAAATGGGTCTGTTTAATTTGTTATTGTTGAACTCTAGACATTCATAGAAAAATTATTTTTAACATAATGGAAACTTCTCATAACGGGGACATTGGGACCATGAAAATTACCGTGTATATATCAGGTAGGCTACTTTGTTATTAGAGAACCTATTGACTTAATTTTGAACCCGGGACCTCTCGATTACGAGACCATGCACTGCCCTACCTCTGAGCGAACGCGCCTAATACTATTATTTTTTTAAATCCATATACAATTTTCAGTTTTGCAATTAAAGTTGAAAGTCAATTCAAAATAGGTGAATAAAGTGATTTTAAAAGCAAGATTATATGGATGTAGATAATGGTTGGGAATTCTTTTCAAACTAGTTTTTTATAAGACTTTTTAAGAACACGGGACGAAAAATATTCTTTGTATTTTGTCATGAAAAGGTGATGTTTCTTTTAATAGACGTTGCAATTATTATCAAAATCATGCAAGCTTTCGTTAAACGTTTTAACGAACATGTAATATATGTTAGCCAACTGCATGGATAAGATATACGAATCGAAAACAGTCCAGATAGTGGACTAAATTAAAACACGCATGCAAAACAATCAGCATTCCACTCTGTAATGTTTTAAACAAAAGATGGCGCTAGACCTTATGCAAGCGGTCGGCCGCGCTATACAATTTTAACAAGATATGGCTCTAAACATTTTGTCTTGTTGATCATAATGTAGGCATGATTGGTGCTTTTGCCGTTTCTCTCCTAATTAAAAACAAACAAACAACAAATTGAAGAAAAGAGAAAGAAAAAGGAATAGTGTGCTTGATTGAATTCATTCAATATGTATTAATGTTTGTATTAAATTCATTACAATATCATTTTACTCACAATATGCGACTTTCTCACATAATGTTTCATAAAACCATCCGTGTGATCAATACCGCCATTGCAACGTGAAAGAGAATCATTAACAGACCCTCATTTAACTCATAAATAGTCAAATATCCCGGGGCATCCCTAGCTAGCACCTGAGAGAAATGGGAAGAGTGGCCCTAAGTACAAACAAATGTTGTGCTGAAATACCACGAACCTTGCTTTTTTGCCTTAAAGCTAGTAAATAATTTTCCTTTCACAAAACGGTTACAAATTGGAGCGTAAATAATTAGATCTACTTATTATGCATTATTCGGTTAGAATTCACTTTTCCAAATCTAACTTCCATGCAGTGGGCCTACATTTTTTATTCAAACAAAATGAACAGTTCTCTATAGTAAAGGAAAAATCACATCAAACATTTTTTAGAGCATAGTAAGAAGAAGAAGAAGAAGAAGAAGAAGAAGAAGAAGAAGAAGAAGAGAAGAAGAAGAAGAAGAAGAAGAAGAAGAAGAAGAAGAAGAAGAAGAAGAAGAAGAGGAAGAAGAAGGAAGAAGAAGAAGAAGAAGAAGAAGAAGAAGAAGAAGAAGAAGAAGAAGAAGAAGAAGAAGAAGAAGAAGAAGAAGAAGAAGAAGAGAAGAAGAGAAGAAGAAGAAGAGAAGAAGAGAAGAAGAAGAAGAAGAAGAAGAAGAAGAAGAAGAAGAAGAAGAAGAAGAAGAAGAAGAAGATGATGATGATGAAGAAGAAGAAGAAGAAGAGGAAGAAGAAGAAGAAGAAGAGGAAGAAGAAGAAGAAGAAGAAGAAGAAGAAGAAGAAGAAGAAGAAGAAGAAGAAGAAGAAGATCGAAGATCGATCTTCAGAAGGAATCAGGGTTGATAGGCCATACAACCCACATTTTTTCTTTTCTTTTGTCTGTTTAGCGTTACAGTACACAGCTAAATTTATGGTTTCCAGATTCAATGAAGGAAACTATACATTGACGAAGTTTGTTAAGCTGAAGCTAGGCCCCAATCGTTAGCGCTGAAACGTGTTATTCAATCACGTTAGTGCGTGTAAAGATGTCGTCCTCCAAGAGTTGTCTCGTTCTTTGCGTTGTGTTGTCGATGTTGCTGAGCGTTGCTCATCTTCAAGATGTTGACGAGTCGGAGGTTGATGAGAATGAGGATGACTCCGCCGAGGTTGACGTCAAACCCAAGTATCTCACAAAGGATGAATTCAACATGTTGGTCGAATCAGGAGACCGCTTTGTCGTGAATTTCGGTAAGCAAGGAGGTTTGATTGCACACTAGCAGACGCTATTATCGGGTGATGGGACTGTATTTTGGTGCGCCCGATAGAATCCAATTGCAATGCCACGTCGACTTCGGCCCGGCCTTTCGGGTAGATCAAACTTGAGATTAATGTCTTTGTTGTCTTTGTTTTTCTTTAGGCGTAACCAGAGATACTGCCATCCCTGGGAAGATTTCCTTTCTTTTGCGACAGCCACCCAAATTGAAACAAAAATAATATGATGGGTAGGCCTAGAAATCTACGGCGCTTGTTCAGAAACCTATCCAAAATTTGACCTTTAACTCTGGCATGGAGATACCCTAGAACATACCCAAAATGAAGTAAATAATCATCAAATGTTTAAATAAAGATCATGAGTTAAAATTTGTTATGTTTATTACCTGTTTTGTGTCAATTTTCTTGTTATTTTTGGAGTATTTTTCGGAAAAAACATTGATAGATCTAGATCTATTACACTTTTTCACAGGTTTCACGGCAAACTGCTGCACAATACAAGTGCAGACCGATGGTGGGTTACGGGCGGGCGTGCGCGCGCCTGTGTGAAGTAATCTACCGTAATGAGGATCTGAGACCGAGACATTACAGTAGAAAACTTCACAAAGGGGCGCGCGCTTTAATAACGGCAAGAACGCAATTTTAAAAAGTTTTGAGCATCTGTGGCATTATCGTGAAATAGAAACCACTATTTGCTGCACACACGCTTGCTGCACACACGCATACTGCTCACAGATCAGTAGCGCTTCATTTCATCACACGCATTGGTATCCATTTTCTCACCCCGTAGACTATAAGCTTGTGCGTGCACATATAATGAGTGGTTTTTAAAACCATGATATAGCACCTGTTTGGGAAAAAAATGATTTCAGTGTTTAAAGTTCCATAAGATCTATGCAACCCCAAATCCTTTGTCTAAAAAGTTTGTTTAATATAAAAATCATGTAACATGTATGTAACCCTCTTCTAATCAAAAGAAAAACTTGGACAAAAAATTATAAGATAACTTTTACCATGCCTTAAGGTCTAGATAAGCCCATTATGTGTGATACAAGAATACATGATTAGCAAGCAACCATTTTGACTGATGATTTGATCCTTTCAATTTCATTGATATTCACTATCAGAGTCTTGAAGGTTATGAAATTCTTTATTGACCCATCTGTGCCACCATGTTCTTGAACCAAAAAAGATTGTCAAATTTTGTTCTAAATGAACTTTAAAGACTTAAATGTGACTTTTGGTTCTTTGTTTTATTGTTAAAGGTAAAGACCAGTATTGGAAATGCCCCAATTTCAAAAAATGAAATGGAAGCTCTATTACCAATCATGTGAAAGAATATGTTTTGAATATTCATGATGATAACAATTTTGACCGGAAACCGCCTACTATATTTGGTAAATTAGTGTATCTCTTGCCTGTTGAGAGATATGAAATGCATGTGTCGCGCACGTGTGTAGTCCCATATACATCTTTCTGTGTACAATGCTTCTAACTTTATCAAGACTTGGCCAAATTTCTTATCATTTTGATGATTCCAGAACCTTGCAGTACATCTATGCTAGATGATCAACCTTTTCTGATCGATTTCACAACGTTTCTTTCACAATGCAATCGCATGACCATAACTGGTCTTTAGCTTTAAAGTGGTTATAGCGTACCTTTATTGTACAGAAACTGCACAATGAAGGTACCTGTTCTTGTTAGACTGTTTCATCAAGAAAAGCCTGATCATTTGTAGTTCAAATTTACGTTATGGAAATTCAAGTTTATCGTTTATTTATGGGTTCAGCTCAATTTTTAAGTTAAGATTATAATTTAAGCCAAGCAAGTTTTGTAGTTTGTTTGACTTTGTAAGTTTGTAATGAAATTAAACAAAATCTTCTCCTACAATTTGCAAGGTATTTATTTCTCAAAGGAAAGCATCACAAATATTTGATGATTTGTCTTTATTCCACCTCTTCCATGTAGTGAGCCCTGGATGTATTAAGTGCAATGAGTTTGCCCCTGAATATGAAGAAGTGGCTCTGCATTTTGCTACCGAGAGAGCAGATATGAACATCAAAGTGTTTATAGAAGGTGACCTACAAACCATTAGGAAGCAAGGGCTGCGAAGGCTTCCATCTCTTTACTATGTCAGAGACAAAACACCCCTCCTTTACACTGGTGAGTTTGGTCCAACTTAATTAATGTCCATTTTGTTATATTTCAATTCTATAATTCTTTGTCATATTTAACAAATACTGAATCATTTTCAAGGGTAGTTAAAAGCATCTGTTCACTACATTGTATTAAAGAGTGGAACCTCATCATAGTTGATACCAATGCAAGGAAATACCCTTTTTGAAAACTTGTTATTTTTGTGGGTTAAAAAGCACACCCCCCCCCCCCCAAAAAAAAAAAAAGTTGTTCAAAAAGTAGTGGGACTAGCAAAACTTTTTTCCTTTGTAGGTTATGTAGCAAGCTTGAAGAGTGTTATAGATAGCATTAAGGTTCCACTATAAGTTTAGCTCAAGTTTTTACTTGTAATGTAAAGAAAAAATATCTAATTTCTCTTACATTTACAGCATGTCATGTAACTATAATTCTGATGATATCGTCCTACACGTTTGTAATCTTTTCTTCATGAAAATAAATTTTAAATATGTCATTTTATTTTGCTTATTTACATTTTTTATACCAATGGGAAATTGCAAGAGTTTGGAACTCTGGGTATTACCAGGGCCTTTAAAAAAAAGAAGCTACAATACTTCTTATGGTTTTTATAAAAGGCTGCATTTTTTCCATAGTATAATCTGAAAGAAAAATCATCAGATAATTGATAAAAAGAAGCAATCATCAAAGAGTGTGCTCCATGTATTCCAGGGAAGAATATATGTGTCATATCCTATTTATGATACACCTTATTAGGCCTTGCCCTTTATTGGAACAATCATCAGATAATTGATAAAAAGAACATATTGTAATCTGTGTGGAAATTCCCACAGATATCATTCATTTAGCAATTAATATGCTTCATATGAATTTTGATACAAATACACTGTAATGCTGGTAATAAGTTGTAATAGTGGGAAATGCCAGCTGCCTTATTGTCTAAGTGTGAACTCAATACAAAGATATACAAAGGTAGGATCTTTTGTTTGAGCCCACTGTAGAGCAGATTGAAGGTCAATGGTTTAGTAAACGTGTAGAGTATGAGCAAGCCCGTGTGTAACTCGCTCATTTGTCGAGCGCCAGATTAAATACTTGAGTTTATTTAGCAGAAGTATGTACATGTAGGATAAGAACATAATAACTTCACAACTAAATTAATTTTCTCTGTTTGAATTGAAAATGTCATGCAATTAAAGGAGAACAAAGTCAACTTAAAGCCCCACTGCACTACTTATAGCTACTTGTGCCATCTACATTTATATAGCAAACAATGTCTAATCAGTGACCATTGGTGAATGGTCCCCTTTTTCTTATGTTAATTGAGAGCTGATTTGATGAGATAACCACCTGAGAGTGACCATGCAGAGAGGTCTAATCCCTCCTGGCCAAACTAGCAAATAACCATACAAAAGGATATACTGATAATGGTATAGTATAGTATTTATCACCATAGGAAGACGATCTGATTAGATTTTGGAGTACGTAGGTCAAAGGTCACAGGTCACAGAGGTCAACTTATGAAATTCCTTGTATTGAGTTTGTTAGCGCGATATCTCAAGAACCATTTGAGATTTAAACTTCAAACTTAAGGATAGTATGTATCACCATAGGAAGACGATCTGATTAGATTTTGGAGCACGTATGTCAAAGGTCAAGGGTCACAGAGGTCAACTTATGAAATTCCATACATTGAGATTGTTATCATGATATCTCAAGAACCACTAGAGATTTAAACTTCAAACTTAGTGATAGTGTGTATCAATATAGGAAAACAATCTGATTACATTTTGGAGCACGTAGGTCAAAGGTCAAGGGTCATAGAGGTCAACTTATGAAATTCCATACATTGAGATTGTTATCATGATATCTCAAGAACCACTGGAGATGTAAAAACTTCAAACTTAAGGATAGTATGTATCACCATAGGAAGACGATCTGATTAGATTTTGGAGCATGTAGGTCAAAGGTCAAGGGTCACAGAGGTCAACTTATGAAATTCCATACATTGAGATTGTTATCATAATATCTCAAGAACCACTGGAGATTTAAACTTCAAACTTAATGATAGTGTGTATCACCATAGGAAGACAATCTGATTAGATTTTGGAGCACGTAGGTCAAAGGTCAAGGGTCACAGAGGTCAACTTATGAAATTCCATACATTGAGATCGTTATCGCGATATCTCAAGAACCACTGGAGAATTTTCACTTCAAACTTAATGATAGTATGTATCACCATATCATAATATCTCAAGAACCACTGGAGATTTAAACTTCAAACTTAATGATAGTGTGTATCACCATAGGAAGACAATCTGATTAGATTTTGGAGCACGTAGGTCAAGGGTCACAGAGGTCAACTTATGAAATTCCATACATTGAGATTGTTATCATGATATCTCAAGAACCACTGGAGATTTAAACTCCAAACTTGTTTAAATTGCTCTATGGCGGAGGCATCATTTTCGACTGCGCGCAGTCAAAATTCCATCTAGTTCATTTTACTTTACAGTGTATTATATCATACCGGTAATGATGATTATCAATGTTATACATTATATTTTTAATTTCATTGCTCATTTTAGTACTGTTATTGCATAAAGTACAAAAATACAAAAATTGTCAACTTAAACAAATAATAATATTAACAATAGTAAAGCCCAGTGTTTTGTTGTTGTTGAGAATTTGGAAGTGCGTTGATGAAAACTCATGTGCTATTTTGTGTAAGTTTCATGAAAATTCTTCCGAAACGTAAGCCTCTTGCATATTCCATGCAGTTGACCAATATCTTGGTATATTCTTTGATTTGACTTTCTCTAGGTGAAATGGATGCTCAGTCCATTATTCACTTTGTGGAGGTTACAGGAAGAAGGATCCATATACCACTGTCAGATGATGACTTTGAAAGGAGAACTCAAGTCTCTACTGGTGCAACCACAGGAGACTGGTTTGTCCTCTTGTAAGTCTACGACCCATTTTTCCTTCTCTATCTCTCTCTCTCTCTCTCTTTTGCTCTCTCTCACTTACTCTCTCTCTCTCTCTCTTTTGCTCTCTCTCACTTACTCTCTCTCTCTCTCTCTCTCTCTCTCTCTCTCTCTCTCTTTTGTCTTTCTCCCTATCTAGCCTTTCTGTCTCTCTCTTTTTCTCACTCACTCTTTCCTATCTTTCTCACTTCCTGCCCTTTCTCTTTTTTTCTCACTCTACCTTTCTCCCTCTCTCTCTCTCTCTCTCTCTGTCACTGATACACACAGATATTCTCTCTCTTTCTCTCTCTCAAACACACATACACACATATCACCTATGTGGTGATATCACTTACTTCCTGGAGAAAAGTTCTTGTGACACAATCAGTAAAAAAATAATTAAAAAAAAAAAATAATAAATACAAATCAAGCAAAACTTACTGTTTTCTAAACCTGACCTAAATTGAGTACTGAGAAAAATAGAATAAAACAATCTGGTAGTCCCAACCCACATGCATAACACGTGATATCATATGTGTACCATTTGTTCAAATATTAGCTGAACTTTAAAGTGAATAGATTTTCAGCTATTTTGTTATTTATCCACATAACCTATCTTATGCATGATAACAATTTTTTTTTTTTTTTAAATTGAAAATGGCTTTAAACCAGTTTCTCTTGACCTGCAAACAGTTGCAATTGATTTTATATCGATCACTACTTGATATTGATATTAACTCTGTACTAAAAGTTAGGACTTACAGTTTAGGATTGATTGTTGGACTTTGGATAAATCTAGATTAAAATTCTTTATAAGACATGACCTAGAACTCAAGATTGAATTAAGCGTTAAACCTTTCTTATAAGTTACGTTAAAAAAAAAGGTGATTTCAAAGCCTTGTTCTTTTCATGTATTTAAAAAAAAATATATAATGCTGTATTGGTTCTTAGCAGGATGTATAATGAGACACCAAAAGTTGGTACATACTATAGAGAGAAATGCAATATGTATAAACTCTAATAAGACACATGTTGTTACATTTATTGGATATAAAGCTAATCAGCTTTCATGGAATATCTTGTCGTGGTATAATGATTATCTCTGGTATTAAATTTATCTGTATTTTATATATTCAATTAACTCAAATTTTTCCTTTCTTTGAACAACCTGCATATTTGTATCAGTTGTGATGTGGAGCATGTTGACTGCTCTGTTCTTCTGCCAATGTGGGAGAATATTGCTTATAGGTAAGTATTATGAAATGAATATCATAAATGCCAATCTAAGCCAGAAACAACAGCAGCAAGGAAGTCATGTTTATCTTTAGCTTGTGACATGTCTATTTAACATTTGTATTCCCCATCACTTTAAGTGGAATGTTTTGGGTTTGTTTATTTATCTGATGAACCTATATACCTTCCAGATATAAAATTTGCTTTGAATATCTGCATGAACAAATGAATTATAATTTGATAAAATAGGACTGTAATGGTCAAATATCTAATGATTTCATCAGATATCATACAGGAATTCATATTTTTAGCATCCAGTACATATATTGATCTAAAGGTAGTGTGATTGTCATTGAAGTAATTTGAAGTAAGGTCAAAGAATTTTTTTTGAAAATTCAAAGCTGTATTTCATTTAATAATTAAGTTCCTAGATTAATGAGTTCATTTATTTCCACAACAAAAAATGTACAAAAGTATGTAAATTAGTAAAATCAATAAGGTTAACAACTTCAAGAATGACATACATTCAGAATATAACAAAAGTTGTTAATGAAATATAATACAATCGTCAATGGGCAGCAGAATGGAATAGGAATACACAGTGTATTACTGTGGAAGGAGTAAGATAGATGCTTGTAAGTGTCGGCTTGCATGGTGATGTAGATATACAGTAGGCTTGCGGGTGCACCATGTGAGAGAGAGAGAGAGAGGATTGGGGAGTCCTGAAAAGGACTCTCTGTAATCTTTCTTGAGAGTGTGTAGTCCTGAAAGGAATGTTTGTGTAGTCTTGAAAAAGACTGTTGGTTATCTTTCTTAGTTAAGATAGTTTGGTAGCACCAAACATATAATCATAAATGATTATAGGCCTATTAGATGCATCCATGCAAGGTCAAATGTATTAACTTTAAACATGCCTGAATAGATCATGAACAAAAATTACTTGTAAAATATGCACACACATGATGTCCAATCCCAAATTAGGTAGAGAAAAAAAAGATAATTTAAATGTGAAGTCCAGTGCTAGAAGATGACTTGTGCAGTATTTTTAATGCTTTAAACTATTACATTGGTATTTCAAAGAAATGGAGATCTGACTATTATTTTAAATTATTTTATCATTTGTTTTTACCTTGCACATTATAGGTTACATTCCCTGATCAATGTTGCAGTAGTGGATATTCCCAAGAACCCTAAAACTGCCAAGCGATTCCAGCTATCTGGGTCTCCTGCGATGCATCTGTAAGTAGACATTTTATTATTTTCTTTTTTAATATATATATATATATATGGTAGCTCGACTAGTTAAATTGAGAATATAAAGATTAGTTCTTATATTGTGTTGCTTATAAGTTAGATCATATCCAACGATGTATTCTGTTAAATAGACAGAAATGACTAGCAGTCTCAAAAGACCATTATATCAAATGATTAACCAAGTCATGAATGTCTCAACCATTCTAATTTAAAGGGATCCGATAACTTTGTCTCAGATTCTGAAATAAAATTCTGGATTTAGCTCATGATGCAATGATAATCATAAACCTTTAGGTCAGTCAGGAACCCCATGACTTTTACAAGCCGATCGCCTGTCTGATTATCAAGATATTTATGATTGGAATTACAAATTTTTGAAAACCGTTCGCCTGACGGTTTTCACAACACTACAGTCTATTGGGGAAAACGAGTATGGTCAAATCGGTCACTCAAAGATTTTTACTTTTTTGAGGCACTTCTTGATCATTTTGAAGCGCAATTTTTTTAGGGCTTCAATATTACACCATATCACAGACACTGATAACACGTAGGGCCGTGAATCTCAGATTTAACATTGTTAAACGATCCCTTTAAACGTGATGATGAAACTTATCTTGAAAGAAATCTTTTAAAATTGAAGCCATATTGCTTGCCGCAGAAAGGTATTTCCAGGAATCAACCTGAAAGATATAAAATCATAAAAAAATATGCAGTCATCTGTATGGCAATCCTTGCAGAATCATGATTCTAGCTTCATCTTTAATTATAATAATAATAATAATATTGGATATGTATATAGCGCACATATCCACCCTGGAAGGTGCTCAAAGCGCACCATTAATGACCATTTAGCACCATTAATGACGAACAAAGAATTGTATTTTGAGTTATATATCTCATTTAATCTTTTTTTATCCACCCACAGATTTAGGAAAGGGAAGCAGTACGTCTACACCCTTCAAATGCGGGATGATTCAACCGTTGTTCAATTTGCACAGAATGGCTACAAGCGGTTTCCTGGCGTCGATGTACTGCCAGAGCAATCACCATTGTAAGTTGATCTTTGCAGCTGGTAAAGTCAAGCCCATGTTTGAGCACCAATCATGGGGTAACATGAGAGTTGGATTCTAGTCAACCTTATCTTGAGTACATGTACATGTAATATGTATGCATATAAAATATACATGTTATGAGGTGGGTGAGAGATGAGATTACATGTCATGGCACACAACCTTGACGAGAGAGAGAGAGAGACAGAGAAAGAGACAAACAGAGACAGACAGACAGATAGAGAGAGAGAGACAGATACTGTAGATAGAGAGAGAGAGAGAGACAGAAAGAGAGAGAGGGGAGTACCACAGATTAAGGGAGTGATGCAGATTGTGAAAACAGCTATATAAGTTCCAAATATAACTGCCTTAGTTACAGGATTTATACCTTGTATGCCTGTCACCCCTTGAAGAGTATTCCATTTAACTATTAATGATATCAATGATTATCTGATTTATGCCTGTTTTCATACTGGCAATGAAAACGGGTACATCAAGGGTTCAGTGACACAAAGATGTAAATCCATATTTTGCCAAAATGAGTTTTTGATATCAAAATATTAAAAAATGTGGGCTTTCCAGGAAATATAAAGACTTACGGTAACTCCACCCATTGAAGTCAATGGCTAGTCAAACAGACTTAACTCCTTAAGGCCCAAGTGCTCAGTGACACATAAACCACTTTTCCTCACAATGGCCAAAATGGAGTTACATCTTTGTGTCACTGACCCCTCAACATTATAACTTGACATTGTTTGTACTAATTCATTGAATACAAATCAGCTAGTCATACTTACACATTTTTTCTTCATGTTTTCATTTTAATCAAATGCACAGGCAAAAGTATGATAAGGTAAAAAAATCTGTTATAGAAATTCCATATATTCTATTAATTTCAGAATAATGCTATGAATGATTGATCATTGTAATTTTTACAATTTTCTTGCAGTGATACTCTGACAGAGAATATTGCAGATCAGCTTAAGGTTAGTATTATGGGTATTGAAGTCCTCAATAATCTATGCTTTATTCATGTACTTACAAGCAAAGCAAAATGTGTTTTTTTAAAGAACATTTTCATATAAAAATGAGGGTTGTCAATGGTATGGCTACCCCCCCCCCCCCCCCCCCCCCTTTGCCAGCAAATGGTTAAAAATACCGGTATGGAAAGTAGGGAGAGAGAAAAGAAATATGAGAAGATGATATCGTGATCCCCTCCATCAGTCTTTCTACCCCTCTCATTTTATCCATTATAGCTAAGTGTGAGTGACCCCTTCCCCCATGACTAGACACATGTTATACAACTGATGGAAAGATCCCATCCAGACTGAATGATAGACGGTTAATAAATGATACCATTCTATTAGACCTTGATCCAGGTAATGATTGGCTATATGAACAAGGTAGTACCCTGTATCCTGTAGATAACTCATACAATAAAAGTAAAATGATAAGAAGCCAGAAATTTCATATCAATAAGAAATCAATGCTTACGAGTACACAATTAGATTACCTGATACAGATATGTCTCATTTCATTATGTCTGTATGTAACAAACTACATAAAAAACAATTGATCTTTCATCCCAAAGTATGTATGAATTATAGCTGAATAATTTGTAAAATATTTATATGAATAATATTCCTTGTGAATATTTCTTGAATACAGGAAGTTCTCCCTGAGTCACATTCTTCCAAGCTGATTGTCATCGGCCTTCCTGTGGTCGTCGTCCTTCTCATCATCGTCTTCATCTCGAGACGTCGAGCATCTGATATCCTTCCTGGAAGAACAAAGAAAGGAGTTTGATTTTTTTTCCATTTCACTTTTTTTCTTCTTTCGTTTAGATGTATAGCATGTGGTATTTATTGTACTATCATTCCTAGGTATTTGTAGAATTCAGTATTGTAGGCTGACGTACCGTGTGTGCAAAATATTTGCTGTAAACAACTATTATTTTACAGACACAAATTATGACATATGACTTTAAGTAACCATAGTAACATTTAACATTACTGCTACCCATATTGGATATAACACTGAGAGAATATGTGCCAAGCATAGTGGGGTTTATATTTTAGAATATTTCAGTGAATGTATCACAGTCTATAAACTAAAAAAAATAGGTTATATCTTTAGTAGGATCAATTCTAGTAGACACTTTTATTCATTATTTTTTGGTGTAGTATTACATGTGATCTTTATCATCTCTTTATGATCGCTTTTTCTGTTGATTTCTTTAGTCTTCCACTACCAGATATTCGGTATAAAAATGCACAATGTCTAGGTTGTGTAGTTATGGTTGATGTTAACATCTAATATGAAAATAATTTCTGCTTTTTCAATTTATTTAACAAAAGGGCTGTTACATTGGGGTATACATATATATCCAGAGGCCATTTATTATGCTGTTTCTCTTCTTACTTTTTTTGCTGATTACATACTTTGATATGCTTTAATGCATATGCATAGATGTAATAATTCTATTTGAAGTGCCTTATTCATGCCTTAATCAGTACATGTATTCTGAATTTTGTTTCGAATCTAGATTCTGAACATTTTCTTTGTTACAGAATTTGATAAAAGTTACAAAATACTGCAAAGACTACAAGTGAAATGTTATTGATTCAATCTATCCCTAAAAGAAGATTTTACAAGTTAGCATCTATTGAAAATGAGGAGAGTATAAATTATGCATAATATTAAACATTATATTCCACATACTAAGAATCTTGCTCTACGATTGGTCAAAAGTAAATCAAGTGATGAAAGATAGTTTGCCCATCATTGATGGAGAAGAAAAGTTTTTTACACTGTGTAGATAGTACTACTATCTTCAGTGAAAGTGCATTGCACTCGGTAGATAGTATTAATATCTACTCAGTGCAACACACTTTAATTGTAAACGTTGCATATTAGTGTTAGTATGCGAACTTTGGTCACGCGCAAACAATGGTCACACCATACTGCATGCACTTTACGTATTGTACACCATTTGCTAGCTGTTAATTGATGACTTGTTATAAAATGACTGAAGAAGTGAAATGTTTCCGATGTGAAATATAAAGCAAACAATCATCTTTTGGTTTCAGGCGATGGCAAATTATCACTTCCTCGGCGATTCGAATGTATACGCTAAGATAGATACATCCATATCGCCTCGGAAGTGATAGTTTGTCCAATCACCTTCACCAACGGTAATTATTTGCTTACTAGTGCGTTTTGACCTTCAGAAGAGTTAATTGTTGCAATCGTACCACTTGTGCTATAACTGCCAATCTTTTAAATCCCTCATTTGTACTTTCTGAAGAAACTTTCTGAAGAAACTTTTGTCCTTGTTGTGTGGTGGCCCAAGCAAGTTGCTATGAGTTCACAAATTTCTCTGTAAAGTAAGAGAAACGATACAATAATCTAGCTATGTGATAGCATTGTGTGAAATATACAAACTAATGTTCGACTCCTTTTGTTTCTTTGAATGGGATGGATAATGACTAAACTGCATTGCATCTTTTCTGTAAGCCATGGGAGATATAATCTGGCATTCACAATGAACAGTTATACCGCCCTCTTTGATATAGTATCACAAATGATGTAAATCAAGACCTGACATGTAATGTATACAAATACATGAATACTGGTAGCTGTGTTACACAGAGGAGAGCACAGTTATTGATGGAAGGTATGTATCAACAGAATCAGGAATGTTGAGAGAGAAATCATGTGAAAAATAACTGAAAATAAAAAAAATTGAAGAAAGAATGGTCAAAAGTTTCCTCAAAGGCCTAAAGAAGGCATGATATTAATTCAAAGTGAAATAAAATTTCAATTTATTACTTTATACTCTATATATATTCTACATATTACTAAATATGGCAACTAAACACTTTCTTACAGAAGGTAAGAATGATGGGGTAGAATACTATTTTAAATCAATCGGCTATGGTACTGTAGTATGTTCAACTACTTTTATTTCAAATCTAGGCTGAAATATTAATTCATACAGCTTGGTTTGTAGTTAAGACACTTGAATTGCGGAAATTGATTTCAAATATGCCTCCTTCAAACATGGTTGATCTTCAGGGTAGAATGCTTTATAATACTTGTATACTTGCTAACATTGGTGTCCGTAACACAATCTAACAGACTTTTGAGAAATCAATTCAAGGGTAATTTCAATAGCCTATTTGTATATCTAGTAATAATTAGTTTGCAGCACAGACTCTCACTTGACACTTAACCATGATCCCTATAGCCTTGAGCAGAGCCTAGATGTGTCGGTGTGTGGCTGTGATAAATGAGCAGCGGCTCAAGTACAAGCGCCTATTGTAGGCTCATAGTGCAGACACTGTTACGCAAATAACTACCAAGGGTGGTTTGTGCATGCACACTGTGTAGAAACCTTGTTCAGATGATGTATTATGACTGTATCGTAATGTTTGCACTTTTCACAAGGTGATGGATAAGGTTATTGAAATAGTCTTTGTTTTCATATCCCATTCTGAATAAAAACAATCACGATTCAATGTGAAACATATCGTAGATAAATCGAGATATGGTTAGTAAGTGCCCTTTATATCTTTGTTACGAATGATAAAAACACTTTTCTTGTGATGGATCTTGAAAACCTTGTTGATGAAATTGTGTACTTTGCAAGTAATTAGCAATCTATTTAAAGTGGTTTAAAGAGATATTGTTGTCTTTTTTACTTGAAATTGTGGAAATTCTGAGTAAGTGTACAATGTTTTCTTGAGATATGGACCTCATGTAAATGTTGATTTCAGGGATGTGTAAGTGCCAAGCGAGAAATGCTGCATCATAATATACTGATTTATGGGTTGCATAAAGGTAATATCTCAAAGAAAAAGAAACTTAATATGTGCCAAATGTAGGGTTTGTTTTTAAATCATAAATCTTAATGGAATTTCAACAGACATTCTATTTGGTAAATTATGGACTAACATTTCAATGTCTTAGAGCTTGCTAAAATGATTACAAAAAATAATATTTTAAAAGGGGTAGAATTGATCAAATTGGAATGAAATGAGAGTGTTTCTACTGACTTGATGCAACATACCAGCTTCAATTAAAAGAAGAGCTGCTATTTACATTTCCTACTTATATTTTTTTTTTAGACAAAGTTACACTTGCACTAGAGACATGTTTACTTCTATCCATGAAGTTTTACCATTGCTAATATCGATGACATTTATAAAGAAATTTGTTGGATGATATCTTTTAGCAAAGGTGGAAGAGAATAGAGCTAGTATATTAGCATTATTGATAATACAGTTCATTTGAACTTTTTTTTAATTTGTTCCATCCTAATGATGAATGTTGAATATCGCGCTATACGATTATCTCATGAACATGAATTGAATGAAACAAATGGAAAGAATACAGGTTATCAAACATGTAATCAGTAAAAAGGCATGTGTATAATTAAAACATATTACTTATGGCAGGTTAATGTTAAAGCAGACAATTGAGGGATGTTTTTAAAAATGTTATTCATATTCCTTGAATTGTTCAATTATGATGATTTTACATTTCCTCAAAAAGAGTCCTTTGAGAAAAAAATTGACGTCGCCAAGCATTAATAACTATTATATACTAAAGATGTGTTTGTACTAATCATAAACTGGTGGCATTCATTGAAAAATTAGAAATTAAATTAGATTTGATCATCAAGAACTTGTCAGATTTTGTGCAATATGATGTCCCGGCAAGCATGGAATTAAATTCACATCGATGATGATTGATTTCACAAGTCAATATAAGTGTATACAGAAGAGTTATTTTTGTATTGCTAGCTATATAATAACTTAGATTCACCCATCCTCATTTGTTGAAATCATCTACCTCTACATGTGTTTTCTTTGGTTCGCTTTATCTTTTGCTTTTCACTTTGTCTGACTCTCTCTCTCTCTCTTTCTTTCTTTCTCTCCCTCTTTCTCTCCCCTTTCTTTCTCTCCCTCTTTCTTTCTCTCCCACTTCTCTCCCTCTTTCTTTGTCTCCCCCTCTCTCTCTCTCTTTCTCTCTCTCTCTCCCTCCCCTCTGATCTTTTTCTTTCTCTTTGTTGAATCAGAGACATGCTGGTTGTGAATTAATGAGATTTGTAGCCACGCTGTTCTCAACTGCTGAGCAAACAGGGTGTAGCAGGTAGTTTAGTAAATCACTTCAGTTTGATTCAAGTTTTCCCAATTCTCCTAGAAACGATGACATGAAGCAGGCAGGCATTGATAAAATAATGTCTGCCTAGCTAGGCGATCGAATTCTAGAATGTCATTAAGCGTATCGTGCCTCTTGAGGACTTTATATTTGATATTCGTGTTTTTCCACTTTCTTTGCATTTATCATTTCGTATGGATTTCATTTCATTTATTCAATTCTACGTCAAGATAAAATCACTTTCTAGATCCCTTTTCCACGTACGTAAAGATAATTTTACTTTCTGGATCTTTTTAACCGGCTTTTCGTCTCCTTTAATTACCTGATTTTAAAGTATTTTCTCAGTTTCTACATATCAATGAAGAATATTGTCAAATATTTCTGGAAAATTATTTGAAAGATAATTTGGACAATTTGCACTTTGACAACATTTTGAATGGGATACGTACAATCTATACCTGCTACCATATCCTGGGAAATATACAGGTAATTCTATCTTCAACTTTTGAATTTTAAAATGATTTAATCTATCTTAGTATTTATCTGAATCTATAAGTTACTAATAATCTTTATATATTCTAGTCGATGTAGATTAATATATATATATATAAGTTACGTTAATCTCCTTCGAGAGTCAACACAAGACAAATCTGACGATGTCTCGTCATCCTATAAAATACTTTAATCATCTTACAGATGGTCTACAGGGATGCCCATTGAAAATAAAAGAGATGGAGAAGACGAAGTGTGTGGGGGACCGAGGGAGGAGGGAAGGATGAGGGGAGAGAGAGAGAGAGAGAGATGGTCTAGAGATGCCCATGGAAAAGGAAAGGCGAAAATCATCCAACGACGATGGAAAACGCCATATAAGAACCAACAACAACTGAGGGAGTGTGTGGGGGACGGATGGAGGAGGGGAGTAGGAGTGGCGAGAGAGAGAGAGAGAGAGAGAGAGAGAGAGAGAGAGAGAGAGAGAGAGAGAGAGAATTCAAGATGATCTAAGGATGCCCATTGAAAACGAAAGAGATGGGGAAGAGGGAGTGTGCGGGGGGGGGGGGGGTCGAGGGAGGAGGGGAGAGATATATAGAGAGAGAAAGTGAGTGAGAGAGAGAGAGAGAGAGAGACACACACACACACACAAAGGTCTACAGATGAAAGCGAAAGAGATGGGGAAGAGGGAGTGTGCCGGGGGGGGGGGGGGGTCGAGGGAGGAGGGGAGAGATATATAGAGAGAGAAAGTGAGTGAGAGAGAGAGAGACACACACACACACACAAAGGTCTACAGATGAAAGCGAAAGAGATGGAGAAGAGGGAGTGTGCGGGGGGGGGGTCGAGGGAGGAGGGGAGAGAGATATATATATAGAGAGAGAAAGTGAGTGAGAGAGAGAGAGAGAGAGAGAGACAAAGGTCTACAGATGAAAGCGAAAGAGATGGG